TAAATAATAATGCCTTTAACTCCATTTCTATAGAACTTCTTTGAACACACAAAGATGCTGTTCAGTGCAGGAGTGATCTGTGCTTGTCCACTTGAAGAATGAGGGATTTTATATGAAATGTAACCATGTTATATTTGCACAGCTCCTGGGAACTGAGCTCCTCCTTTTAAAGAATCCACCCAGCCTAACTTAGGTACATGTTTGATCAAAAAAGATGAATCAAACACAGATTGATTTGCATCAATTAATGATGAAGTCATTTTATTATTTGCATGAGTTAACACATCAACTCTGACAGCCATAATTGTAAGACCATCTAAAATTGACTTTATTTTCTACCAAACCTTGTATCCCATCTAATCCTTTATCCAAACTCAAATTGAGATCTTTTAAGAGGCAGGAAATGTCTGTTAATAAAAATATGTGTGCATGTGTAGCCAGGCCGTTGGAAGTGACCAGAGTGCTTTGGCAGTAGATCCATCCTAGTTAGTTTCACCGCAGACGTTCAAATAAGGATCCAGTGGTTGTGTTGCACAAACGTTGCCATGAGGTGTGTTGTCTTGGCTGCGGTCAACAGCAATACTCACCAAATAGCCGCTTGGCTCACTGTTTTCAAAATAAACGGCTGCTGGTCTGGAACCTGGCCTGACTGTAGTTCTCTTTCATCCCTCCTGGGGGCTCTGGCGATCATTTGGATCATGGTTCATAGAACCATGGTTACATTTGTAACTATTTAATTTTTTATTGAAATTACTTTTCTCATGTTCTTTAGAGTATCAATATGCAAACACTGCATTTATTATGTGACAACATGGGAGAAAGATCCAAGGAGCAAAATATAAAACAGTAAATCATCCATTACAGTAGGTCTGTGCTACAAGCTCTAACTGAGCTATATAGCAGCACCCTTTCATTTTTTATGGTTACAGCAGGCTGGTATAATACAATGTTGTTTAAAGGTCTCATGTCTCCTGCTCAATGTCTGCTGTATTTGCCTGTCGTCTCCAGGACCTGGGCTCTCCCAGTGAGAAGATATGGCCTGGCTACAATGAGCTGCCTGCAGTGAAGAAGATGTCTTTCACAGAGTATCCCTATAACAACCTGCGAAAGCGCTTTGGGACTCTGCTGTCAGAGAAGGGCTTTGACCTCATGAACAAGTACGACTTTGTCTGACTCCTACACTCACACCACAATGTCAGTGCTCCTGAAGTATTACTGTATATCTTTACCATCTCAATTTTAAAACGAGCTAAAAACGAAACAAAAACATAAGGCTTTACTGTGCTACTGTAAATATAAACTCTGAGACATTGCAGTCTTTACTAAACCATTTTAGTTGATTTAAATACCAGACTCTTTAGATTGAGACGCCGTAGTCACATGCAGTATGTCAGGCTCATTTCAGACTCATTTTGGCGAGCTGTCCTCAAACATGTCAAACGTGGAGCTTTGCTAATCCATCACCTTCCTCTACTCCAGTCTTCAGACAGTCTCTGACAGTCTCACTGAGAGGAGCACCACAAGATCCCAGAATGTTTTTAAGATGTCAATGGATGTTTGTTTTCATATTTTTTACACCTTTGCTGAAATCTGTAGGGGTTTCCCTAGGAACAGGGTTAGAGGTCATGTTGCCTGTGTGTGTGAAGTCAGGTAGAAATCACAGAGGTGTAAAGAATACCACACCTATGGAGGACAGTGGGCCAAGACAACCTGCACTGCTGGGGCTTTAAATGATAGTACAAACCGTCTTTGAGATGTTTTTTTCATATTTTACTGGTTTATAGAATGTGACTCACAGGCAAAAATTGCACTTAAAAAATAAATTCTCCTGTGTATCTATTGTGGCTTTATTGTCAATATACCTGCACTCACTGGCCTTTTTTGTTTTGATAGATTCCTGACCTATTGTCCGGCCAAGAGGATTACTGCAGATGAAGCTCTGAAGCACGAGTATTTCAGAGAGACCCCGCTGCCCATCGACCCCTCCATGTTCCCCACGTGGCCGGCCAAGAGTGAGCAGCAGAGGGTGAAGAGGGGCACCAGCCCGCGGCCGCCCGAGGGAGGCCTGGGCTACAGTCAGCTGGTAAGAGCATCAGGCCCTGTGTGTTACACTGGACTTCTCTGTGTGTTAAACACATCAGAGCTGCAGCTTCTGTGTCGCCGGCGCTCCTCTCTGTTTTCCATCATCAGCACACTTCTCTCCTAATGTATTCTCCAGCTCCTCCCCACCCAGGAGCCACTGTAAAGAGCCACTCTATTTCAGGCACAAGGAATGAGTTTACAGTAGTTTATAAGAGAAATCTGTTTATTCTTTTCAGACTGCAAAAGCTTTTAAAATAGACCACACGCCAGAGTCACACAGGATCAAGCTGCAGGCTATAAAAAGGCTTATAAAATCACACACAGAAGATTTTTGTCTATAATGAGGTCTCCAGTATCCAGTATTAAACTGGAATTAGTGTAAAAAGCTATTTTGATTTTTATAGCTAATTTGAAAACTACAAACCTTGAATCCTCATGGCATTGCTTAGCGGAGCTTTAGAGAAAATACATTCATGATGCTAATATTGTCCAATGTTATTGTGCACAGGGCGACGATGACCTGAAAGACACAGGATTCCACCTGACGACCAGTAACCAGGGAGCATCCGCAGTGGGCCCTGGATTCAGCCTGAAGTTCTGAGTCCACACTTAGACTGAACAATGGTCTGTGGAGAGATGTGTGCTTGGTTTACTCCAGCAAAACTGCCACCAACTGTCAGGACTGTCTCACAGCAAAGACTCTGGTGCTCAGACACATCCACATTTCCACACTTGTGCTGGGTTTGGCTCTTAAAGGGGAAGGCCATAAATCTATTCACGTTTAGCTCATGTTTGTTTTATTTTCCTTTTCTACTGGACGGAGAGGACCAGGCTCTAAATGGTTGGTATTTCCTGGCTGCCGGAGCTACTGTATAATGATGCAGCGCTGGCTTCGTTCTCATGTCACCATTAGAACCATTACTTAGCAAGATCAGCCTGTTCTGTCGTCAGAACTGATTTTCCTAGAAATAAAAGCTGAAGATTTTTGTTTTGTCTGCCCTTCTTTCTGTGTTTATAAGCCCTGTCTAAATCTTGCAAACACAGGCGCGTACAGTCAGACTTAAATCCAAGGAAGTTATTTTAAAAAGTAGCTGTCCAAAAGTCTTTTGTGGTTATGACTTTGTTCTTTTTCACAAAAGTGGCTTGTGCTGTCCTTTATCTCAACCAGGCCTGACAAGATTATTGCTATATCGACTTAGCATTCAATATATGGAACAATATATCTTCGGGGGTAATATTAATCGTGTGTATATTTTCTTTGCACAACTGGGAAATGTTTGGTTATTTTTAGGCTATATGATAAAATTTAAGATGTAAAAGGCTGAATTAATAACTTCTTTGATAGATTACAGATGCAAAGTGCAAGTACTAAAGTGATTCATTCTGCCGTTTATTTATTGCAGCTCGTGATTTCATACTAATATTGTAGATTTAGAATAGTTTTTGTTGTTAAAATTTCAATATTATCGTTTATCATCTATCAGCATACTCAAAGACGCTTTCCTTGAAGAGACAAACAAAAATAATAAAGTTAATGAAAGGTAGTATTATAGAGATGGATTTTCTGGGCTTGAATATTTACTTTGATTGTGAAATGGACCCAAACAAATGGACATCTTGCTGCGTAGAATGGAATAGACAGTAAAACTCCTGAGGGGGACTGGGGGCTGTGGAGTATGGAAACGCTCATGAATCAGTTTTATCTGCCCCCGCCCTGTTCAGATTATTGCACCTGATGTGTTGAGTGGAGTTGGACGCCGTGCTGTGAGTGGGGCTGACTTCTTCTCTTCTGAGACTCTGCTGGCTCCAGTGCCTCCAGTAAAGAGCGCAGACATCTGAGGTCCTCCATATGGCGTTTTAAAGTGCAACTCCTTCCAGAACCTGCAGACTACATTGCTTTTGTTGGCTTTTATAGCACACTTTGGTGATATTTTAACAGCCCCAAAACCTTTTTAGAAAGCATTAGACGCAATCGGAGTTGTTTGCCAAAGTTGTGTCCAAATCAAACCACAACCTCCCGATTGCACAATAAATCCACTTGCATGTGCAATATCCTTTTTTGGAAGGTGAATCTGGTCTCGTGCATAATCAGTTATGTTAAAAACAACAGAGCTTCAATGTGCCTCAGTTGTGTAAAGAAGAGTTCACGATTTTGAATTTCATAAGATTAAATTTATTCACACCTGGCCAGTAAATGACATAAGCAGGTTGTTTTTGGACTTTTGGATTGTTTTTGGAATAGCTGATGCCTGGTGGTGTAAAAACGGAGCTACAAACCTGAACGTGAGACACAGGATAAATGCTAGGCCTGTCACTATAATCGCAATATCAACTTAGCGTTCAATATCTGAAAGCTGGAATAATATTTTATGGGGGTCAGTATTTATCGTGTGTACATTTTCTTTACACAACTGGGGATTTTTTGGTTATTTTTTTACTATACAATAAGAGATATAGGCCAGATATAATAGGTATAAGCCGTAAAAGGTTGAATTATTAACTTCTATGACTCATTACAGATGCAAACTGAACTAAAGTAGTAAAGTGTTTCATTACTACTCTTTATTGCAGCTCGTGATCATTCATTCTTCTAGGAATGGTTAATTTCTGTCCTGTGAATATGACTTTTTTAGTATTGATACCTGCTTGAATGAGTATTTAGTTTCAATACAAGATTTAGTATCGATTACTATCTGATTTTTGGATACTTTTATCATGTGAGAAAGTACATGAGTGTGAAGCATGAACTGGACAGCACCTTAGAGACACAAAAAATACATTTATTAGTTGCAAAAGTGAAAAGCCTTTACAGGTGTCAATAGTTGTGGTCATTAGACAAAATGATAAAGAGAATGGTGTTTGGTGGAGCTGTGGGTTCAGAACATGAACTGTATAAAGATATATATACAGTCTATGGTTCAGAAGCGCACTCGGACCCTCCAGGAGTATGTGGTGAGGACTCGGCTCTTCTTGCGTACCACACACGTGTACAGGCCCTCGTTGATGGCGTTGGCCACAATGGTGATGTGATCGTCCTCCAGGGAGATGTAGTTGGGATGGGAATACTCCAGCAGCTCCCCGTCCTTGTACCAGCTGCAATACACAAGGATCACAGGGTCAAAGAAAAGTAGTAAAGTACTGTACTTAAAAACTTAATTGTGCACTGTGTAACCTGTCTGTAGGAGAGTCCATCACCTGCTTGTCTCAGTGGAAATGTGCATAGAATGTTCCATAGTACGGCAGAAGAATAAATTTCTCCATGGAGACTTGCAGGTTAGATTTGTGGAGAGGCGACCCCACTCACAGTAAAAATTTATGTTTTTTAAGATATTTTTGAGCAATAACACATGTAGTTGAATAAATCCAAGACAGTTTAATTTAATATTATACTCTTATCTGGACAATTCAAGCCAAAGCATTAACATCCCCAAGGAGACAAACAGGTTGTGGCACCCTTCCAGAAAAGTTACACAGTGCACCTTTAAGTATACATTTTAAAATTTTTAGTGGATACTTTTTTACTTTTACTACACTATAGTTTGAGAGGAGATATCTGTACTTTCTACTCCATTAAATTTTTAAACAGGACTCAAACTCTCAGCCTTTACTGCAGATCTCAAACAGTAATAATAAAATACTTTTACTTTTACTTTTTAACATGTTCATAATTTGAGTATATAAAATATTCAAACTGGAAAAAATGACTTAATTGTTTCTACAGAACAAAATTCAGCACAAATCTTTATCAAAATCACTACATTTGATTTGGTTTAGTCCTGGTTGATTTTGCAGAGACTTTAATTTGTTTTGGCGACATATTTGACAAACAAACAAACAAAAAACTTTATTAGACCTCAAAATTTTGTATTTAGATAGTAGATTTTAAGTAAATTCTTTCATGTGATATTTTTACTTAAGTATTTTTATCTGTATATTTATATCTGTACTTTTATTCAAGTAACAGACTCAGTCCATCTTCCACCACTGGGTTTCATGTTCAGTATCCAGTTTAAAAATAATACACATAATTTTTGAAACTATGTAATGAATAGGAGTGGGTTAATATAAGTTTTTCTTCTTCCCCCTCCTTTTTCGAGAAATGTGCTTTTTTGTTGTTTACAATGTATATGTAGTGTGCATGATTATTGTTTCTCTCTTCGCAGAAACTCAAAATAAAAATCAATCAATCAATCAATCAATAATGATCACATAAGTCCATATTGACTTCCACATAAAGAGGAACACTTACTGTACTTTGCCTTTCTTTGATGCTATTTTCTTCCCACAGCGGAATGTCAGCTTCTTCCCCTCCGCCACCAGTTTGTGTTTGGTCCTGGGAGGAGTCGGAGTCGGAGCCACCGTCGGGAAAGGGAATTCTGGAGAGAAGGTTTAAATTAAAATATTGACACAGGAATTGGATGTTTGCCTGTTACCATGGAGACACATTAGGACACATTAGCACACATTAGCAACCACTGCCAAATATGTTTTTATGGTGAAAATTTGAGAAGAAAAAAAGCAAGATAGAATTAAAACAAGACATTTTCACGAGCCTGTGACCGATACGAGCGTTCATGGGCTTGTTTAGGTGTTAGGTGTACAGGGAAAGTTGACGACATCAGCTGCAAAGTATTGATATTTATGTTACAATATCACATAATAGTAATGTTAAATGTTTAAACGCACAAAACACCAAAAACCTGAATAAACATGTCGTTATATAACATGTTTATTTAACATTTAAGTAATTTGTAGAGTATTTGTACAGTATTCAGAACATGTGTGACCCAGTGTGGTGTGTGAATCAGAGCGCTGTTCTCTTCATGTTTGTGGATGAGCTCAGGAGGAAATGCAAACACTGAGGGATGTCGGCTCTTACCACAGTACAGAAGTATGTGCGCAGTGGGATGCTTGATTAAATAAAAGTAAATAACTAAAGACATCCAACACCAGTATTTATTAGAGGAATTAATCGAGAAACCTGTTATATCTGTTATGCTTTTCTATATTTTGTTGACAGCGACCTTATGTATTTTGGAGCCTTGCTTTCTGTCGACATTTTGCAGCTGATGCCATTATTAACATTCCCTGGTGGTGTGAAGTTAACTGGAAGCACTGCTCTGTCAGAAGCTCTGTTACTCAAGTTAGACACAATCTGACCTTTATTTTAACACCTTCTTCTGCCACATTTGCTGCCACATATGGTGTAAAAAGTCTGTAGCATCTCAAATGTCCACAGCTCCTTAGCTAGCCTCTTGTACGGTTTTCATGGATACGGGAAAAACAGCAACAGCTCATTTCACAAAATCCAACAGTCCCTTTGTCCTCTGAACTGCACCTGCCACACTTCTTAGTCGGGAGCATGCCTCTGTTCCCACAGCCCTAGGTTCCCTCATTTCTAAGTTTTTTTTTTTTTTCTCCAAAATTAGGCCCTATGTTCCTTTCCTTTGCATCAGATTATTTTTTTGCATCAGATTTTATCCCCATTTCTCCCAGTTTGGTTGTCAGTTACACCCAACCTATTATCCAGCAGCAGTTGACTACAGATGTAATGTAGAGGTCATGGTGCAAAGTATCCTAGGTTGAAATATCTGGTATAAAAATATGAAAATTACTTGAGTAAGAGTTTCATTTTGAGAAAAATCTTAGAAATGCAGAAACATAGAGCTGTGGGAACATAGGGCTGACCCTTCTTAGTCTGTTAAAATCCCATGATATGATTAAAAACTGAGCTCAAAAATAAAGTTTCAAAAACTGCTCAGTTTGTGAGGCAGGTGCCACAAAAGCAGCTAACCACTCTGCTGTTCGTTGTTTAAATCCATTTTGTATCTTTTCTTGAGTTTTCAGACTTTATTATAACATTTTGGCATTTTTTGCTAAAGGCTCAGTTCAGCTCTGTGAGAGTTTAAAGCTCAAAACACACTGAAATGTGAAAGAGCTGTTACAGTCTAATATATAATATAAAAGTCTACAACTCTGCTAAATGTTTATATATTGAAAACAAGAAATTCAGAAAATCAAGTCAAGGGTAGTAGAAAATGAGTTTACAGTTAGTTCGCTAAAAACAGGCACACTGCAGTCGACTCTCACAATCATCACTGATACACACACACCCATACACACACACACACAAAGTTGAACCAAACTTTTCTCTCCTTAAATTAGATGTTTGTGAGTCTGTGTGCGGAAGAAATTCTTAGTGTGGGGCAAAAACAATAGCTCAACGGACAAAAATGGGGCAATAAAAAGCAAAGAAACACATTTTGTTTGTTGTGCTGCCCACTCAGGGTGTTCTACATGTATCTCTATGGGAGAAATGTTCAGCGGTTTAATGTTTTAATATAGTCTGAAAGCTCAAGAAAAAATACAAAATAGATTTATACAACATATTTTGGGGAGCCCGTGGTTTGTTTAAATGCACAAATAGGGTGACTAGATTTTCAAAAATAAAAAACATCACTGGTTTGGGTTGGTTGGTAATTATAAAATTGTGAAATGAGTGCATAATTAAGGAAAATTGTTATGCAATGTGGCTGAGGTGAGTCAGTATAGTCACATTTTCTTTGTGTTTTGATTGTTTTTAAGCAGATTTCTGTATTTTACCTAATCAAATGACAATGTATGCCTCTCTTTACTGTTGGCTGGTTTCAAATTGGTCAAAAATAGAGACACCTGGGACATTTTTTGTATAAAACTGGGACAAATCACTGGTTTTAGATAAATCTGCTGGGATAGGGGACACAGGGCTCAAAACTGGGACTGTCTCGGACATCTGGTCACCCCAAGCACAAATCATCTCACCTGTTGTAACCAACTGAACTCTTTTTGATCAGATTGTGTTAAAATAAAGCTCAGATTTAAGTCTAATTTGAGTAACAGAGCTTTAAACAGAGTAGTGCTTTCTGTTTTCACACTCCCAGGGAATGTTGCTTTCACATTAAAGGTAGACCTACACTGACTTACAACAATATCACCTTCATTGGATGGGCTGATGATGCAATAACCTCTTGAAGGGCCCGTATTACACTGTTTTCTGATCTATGTTATAATGCTTCCTCATCTAAAACATATCTGGGGTTTTATTTTGTTTCATTCACAAATGTTTAACTCACAAATCCTGCATATTTAAGCTGATCTCTTGTATGTAGCTGCGATTTTATATTTTATTACTTATTTTTCTATTTTACTTTGACTTGTACATTTACATTTATATAATTATGCCTTATTTGACACCTGTCTCTTGCTATCTTTTTGCTACTTATTTATTACCATTTATATTTTTTACTCTTTGTTATTATAGTATATTGTGATGTGTGAGCTACTGTGTCCAAATAATTTTCCTTGTGGATCAATTAAGTTTGCTAAGTCTAAATCTAAAACAGGAAGCATTCCATTGTGTTTGTAAACTCAATACCCCTTCACTAGATTCATCTGGATAATTTTAGCCCCGGAATTGCCAATTTCGACTAAACAAAAGGCGGGGATGTAGACAGACTAATATTAAAGGATTACTCAAACATGTGTGAATGAAACAAACAAAACTCCGGACATGTTTTTGAGGAGATAACAATATTATAACAATCTTATAGCTCACCAAAGTCAATTTTGTGTGATATAGAACCTTTAATGTAAAGTGTCCCATCTGCCCCTGACCCCAGCACAATACCCAGTCATATTGTCCCACTGTGTCCCTCTGGTTCCTGCTGCAGAAATTCAAATTGACCTTGTGTGTCTCTAACCCTCAAGCCACAGTCTGAAATTCCAGTGGTTTGGAGTCACTCTGGAATTTTCCACAGCCGTACTACGTTTCCCAATCAACAATGAGGAACAGATCAGAGCCAGCCAGCAGCGCTATCCTGTGCTGTCCCCCACACCAGGATTGTCTGTGCTGTTCCACTGTCCACACACTGAGCAACCACGTGATGCAGACGCTGGAGGCACAGAGAGTTAAGTGTCTGGCCCAACGACGCAACACCAGTGTGCACTGGTGGGAGCAGGGATCAAACTGTTGGCTAATAGTAGTTTTAGTGGAAGCAATAGTTGTAGATATCTTGGAGCACTCTAGGATAAAACAGTAGTGGAAATAGTAGGATTAGGAGATGCATGGGTGGACCTGCTGGCTCCTGTTGCTCTGTTGGTAGTTTGACGCTCCCCGTGCACAGCTGGAGAAAACCATGTGTCTTTTCTTTTCTGTGAAAGAGTGTGCGTCTTACCATAACAGAAATCACAGCTGGAGGGGCAGTGCTTCTGCATGAGCCTGCGCTTGCTGTCACAGTAGCCTTTCTTAGCCCAGGCCTCGCAGATGAATAAACGGTCCAGGCATCCTGAGGGGGCAAAGGGGAGGGGCACAGGGGAGGGGCATAGGGGAGGGCAGTCAGGAGAAAGTCTTACACAGCACAGAGCTCTTGGCCTCCTCCCACACTCAGAGGATGACTCAGGACGAGCTCTTTCTGTGCAGTGCCACGTGGCCTTTGTGCCAGCTGTCTGTCATGTGCACTGGACTCACACAACTGGGACTTCTCTTCAAAGAAAGAACTTGTACTCCACTTGTCAAACTGCCTGGATTCAACTGACTCACAAGTTTAATGTTTGCTGATGTTTCAAAATAATGGCATACAATACTGTATACACGAGTCTCAACTACTAGAATATCATTTCTGAAAACTCAATCAGTCAAAACAGTCTGACTCTGAGCTCAAACTCACCTGAATTTAGTGAATGTCCTGTGTATCATGCAGCATCAGTAAAATGATTTTAAACTGTTAGCAATGCACACATAGTATAATGTAGTATACTGAATCTATAAATATATACAAAAATTATTGATCGAGAACTAGATGGGACCATAGACCTAGTCCATGGACATAGCTAACCTGCTGGCCTCTGTGTTCCAAACATAGACTATATATAAATGGATATTGCTAAAGCGCTATCCGCCATTTTCCAAATAGGAAGTTCGCATTTGGTCTCTTCTCGCTCCATCGATTCTGGCTCCAATTGACTTTACTTTGAAAAAACTGTCAACCCTCTCTCTGTAACTGCTGCTGTGAGCCTCATCATTTCAAATGTTTGTATTAAATGTTTGTAATCTACATAATCCTGGTGTTTTTCTTTCACTATTTTGTTCCTAAATAAATTCCTAATATGGAACTCAGCTCCAAATTTGCTCCTGCAACTGCCAGCCTCTGTGAGCTTCATTTGACTGGAACTGAAAGCTATGGGTGAAGTTACATCATGTCATCATGTAGGGCTTTTCTCTGTGCTCCTCAGCAAATTCTGTTATTTTCTGCTTTGTGTTCATACAGTGTGATAAGCCTAAATTTGCCATACCTTACCACAGATTACCATACTCATACAGATACTAGAAAATCTGTACTTTCTTGTTTCACATAGCTATTTATTATTATTATTATTATTATTATTATTATTATTATTATTATTATTATTATTATTATTATTATTATTATTATTAATGTATTTTTTTGTCTATGTGCTTTCTTCACCTTGATAGTTAAGATGCAGTATACGTTAAGGACACATGTTCGAAATGAAAAAACAGACAATACCATAGAGGCGATGCAGGCCCCACACCTCGTCCTGGGTGATGAGTTTGCGCCCCGTCAGAGTGGCGTTCAGGTGCATAATGGCTTTGGGGTCCATGGAGTGCATGAGGCCCAGGGCGTGTCCGATCTCATGAGTTGCTACATGGACCAGGTCAGTCAACCACACCCCTGAAGAAAACCAAACATCCATGAAGTTTTTCCTTTTAAAATCACAGAGTGAAATTCAGTGTCACTCTCTCCACTAATCTCACACATTGATACTTTGCAGCCGATGTCAACAACATTCCCAGAGGGTTTGTCTAATCCCTTAGTCATCCAGGTAGGATCATAGCAAAGGAGAAATTCAATTCTGCCAGAAGTTAGCTTCTCCCTTCAGGCAGATAAGAGGCAGTGGCCACCAGCAATCTGACCAGAACTGAAGAAACAGCTTGGAAGAGCAAAACTTATTTGATCAAAACAACTTTTGTCCATCGGACAGAATTTAATTTCTCATTTGTTATTCCCTGGAGGTGTGAAGTGAACTGGAAGCACTGAAGCTTTGTTACTAAGTTAGACTTCAATCTGAGCTTCATCTTAGTCTGTTCTTAAAGAAGTGACTTACTTTTTGAAAACCAAACTCTTAAACAGGACCAGTATTGATCTCAGGCTGTTTTTTCTTGAGTTTTCAGACAAACATTTTTGGCAGTGTTTCTAATGTGTGTATTGTGTCACCATGGCAACTCCTAAACATTCCACCATTGGAAAAACATGTAGAACACCCCCAGTGTGATGCAATGGTAAAGTATCAATAAGTAAAATAAATGTTAGAAAGAAACAAACACGAGTCTACCTTTTTTCCAGCTGAAACGCATATTTCCTAGGATCCAGTACTCGTGGTCGTCAAAGTGGATCTCTCCAGTGGGTGGGAAGAAGGCGTGTGCCAGTTCTCCGGTGATGCCGTCAAAGCAGTGGTGCAGGTAGGACTGCAGACAGTCTGTGTGGTTCACCGGGTAGAAGCCTGAGGAGCACAAACACACACATTACACACTTTGCTGTCTGCTGTAGTTCATTGGTTCCCAACCTTTTTTTTCTCTTAAGGACCAATATTGTCACAAGAGCTTGTTTCAGGGACCGGTTGAGATTATAAATGATAGATTATAAAACAAAAATAAATACTTTAAAACCTCCAAGAGTGTGTGCTGAGAGAAACAGGACCATGAACGATCATATTCATCTCAAGCTCCTGAAAAGGTGTTGTTTAAATCCATTTTGTATTTTTTCTTGAGTTTTCATCTATCTTAAACATTTTTTGTATGTTTGCTAATGTGTACATTGTGTCACTATGGTAAAAGCTGAACATTCAGCCAACACCCCCAGTGTGATGTCACTGCAAACTTTAATGAATTTGAAGGTTAAATCTTGCAGTGGAGCAGGAGAACAATGAGTTAAAGCCCTTAGGACCTCTCACCGATCTTAATGTCTGCCTCCTGGTCGGCGGGCACCTCCCTGAAGGTGAAGGGGGACACGTCACTCCACATGCCAAACGCTCTGGCGATGCCCCGGCGCGTGTCGCTGGCATTGATCAGGTTTGTGGGGAAGGAGAGCAGCCTGGCAGACACAGCAGAGTGTGGTGAGTATGTGGTGAGAGCAGCTCTGCGGGCACATTCCTCCACAGCACAGCGCTCTGCCAAAACACAAGGGCTACTGTTCAGACGGCGCACATCCCACAAGCACCACACTACAACTCCATTACCCCGAGTCCACAGCCGAGAGAGGCATCATCTCACAGCATGGGGCAGATTAGGCTGAAGGTCTGTCTGCACCACTCAAACATCAATAAATACAGACACCGCTCATGTCTAAACAGTTTGCTCCTGGGGTCTCTGTGGCTACAGTCTGTGAAATGGAGATAGATCTTTTTTATTTAGGATTTAAACAGCAGCACAGTTTCATATAAACTACTCAAAGCTCCTCTGATGACCAGGCAATAGTAGTGAGTACTGATTTCGATCTTTTCCTGGACTGTAAAATCAGATAAGACAAGCACTGTGAACAGTATATTCTTTTTGGCCTAGTTTGAACTCAGATAAGGAGAAGAACTTCTAGTCCGTATTGTTGGCAAGTAACCAGATGAAGCACTCACTTCTGGATGTCTTCAGCCTGAAGGATTTTCTCTGTCTGCTTGTATCAGAGCAGCGCCATGTGAAGCCCATCACAGCACGTTTTATTTAGCTGAAGAGTTCAGAGTGACTCAGCCTGTGGTCCCATTCATCATGAGTACTTTCTCCAAACACTTTTGCAAAAATCTTGGTGTCTGCTAAACCTGTGTGTGGATTCTAACTGTTTACTATTAAATAAGTTCAGTCAATTTCATTGCACAGTGGATGAGGGGTGGGGCTGTAAATATGTAGATTTTAGTTTGATTGTGATTTGGTATTTATATGACCTTGAATGCAATGCTTAAAGTTATGCTTGATCTACGGATCTTTCAAATGGCTCTATTGAGTTTCACTGTTGAGTGTGAAGGACGGTCAGTCCTACTTGTATGTGAGCTTGAACTTGTCCCACTTGAGCTGCTCGGGCGTCAGGGTGTAGCGCTTGTTCCGAGACAGATGGAGCACCTGGGAGCGGGCCTCTTTGCGGATCCCGATGAGCAGGGAAGTGGTGTAAGGTTCTTCCTTGGACAAAGAAAAACCTGCAGTTAATCTATGCATAAACTACATTGTCTAAGAACTGCACTATGCTCTGTCCTGTGCACATCATAGATAACTAGCCCTGATCAGGCACACATTGTAGAGAAATATCCACAAGAATGTGAAATGTTTTTAATATGCTCCTTACAACAGGTGGAGTGAACCTTTACTGTATATGGAAAAGTGAGCTGTGTTGAGCGACAGGTGTTCTGTATCCGCTCACATCATCTGCTCTGCAGCACAGTCATGGCACAGCTCCATGTGTTTTTCTCAAAGATACTCATGAATGGCTTGTTAAGTATTGAAAGTGGAAAATGACGTGAAGCAGCTGAAAAAAGCAGAGTTTTAGACTAAACATAGTCATTAGAGATTGGGGCTTTTATAAGCTTTCACCCATGTTATGACACTGTTCCATCATCATTTACTTACTCACTACTTCACTTCATGTATGTTTGAATAATCCTGTGTTGTCCTGCAAATTACATTTTCACCTATCCCTATCACCTTATTTTTTTTAAAAATCATATAAATAGGGGTCAAATCCTGCAGCTTGTTACAGTGAAATGCCTTTATTGTCCTCTGCATTAGGTAAGATTCCATTATTACTGTTAGAATACGAAGCCATACTTGCCATACATAGAGCAGGCTAATAGAAAAGTTCAGATATTTATATAAAAGTGATTTGTGGTAAGAAATTCCCACAAGTGGGAATAGATAACTACCCAATTTGGTACTTCCTGTTTGGATTTGGAGTTGACCCAGTCTTGGCAAACTTTCTGCCCTTCCTTCACTTCCTTTAATAATGAGTGTGTAGGAAGCACTCCCTCTGAGTGACCCTGTCTTCAGAGGTCAGTTACACACTGTCTGCATGTTCAGAGGGTCTGGAGACACACCAGTGCATCCATCTGTGTTGTGTCTTGTTAGACCAGATACAAATCCAGCCTCACACTCTGGCACACACACAGATAAACCATAAACAAGCAGAGGACCAGAGCCAGCAGTGGTGAGTGCTTGGCCAAAGAAACACTGAGACTGTGGACAAATCTCGCAGGCACCGGCCGTCTGGAGCACACACTTTCATGGACTTTAAGTTGTGTTAAATGCACATTTACATTAAAATAATTATGCAAACAATAAATGTCCAATTACCACAATCTCCGTGTAAAAAAAAAAAAAAGGAAAAAAAAAAGATAAATGGTTCATACATTTTAAGAAAAAGAATGTAAACTAACCATAATAATAATAATATATAATATTGATCTTACTTAATGAACACCAGAAGAATATTGAATAATCGTCCCAAAGAGAATGACACTTTCTGTGCCATTCATTCTGTGGCAACCAGTAAAAGGTAAGATCAGTTCAAACAGGGCCCCACGTGCCACTCTTAGTAAAGTTCAATTTCTGCGTCTTTCTATGAATCTAGGACTGTACTGTAGTGTGCGCACTTACCTCGCTGGTCCAGGAGAGGACGGCAGCTCCGTGCGTCCCGGCGCACAGCAGGCTCAGCAGCGCGGCCAGCACAGAGGCGCGCTCCGCTCTGTGCGATCGCCTGTCTGTCTCAGGACTCTCCATGGCCATCACAACTTCTCCACACACTGCAATAGTCCCTCTGGAGCCACACAGCTTCAGTGCGCAGGGGACGCAGGGCTGGCTACTTGTTGCCCATGGCGCGGAGAAGTTGGATGCTGCTCGGACCAGTGCTGGCTGCGCTGAGAGCAGACTGATCTGCTCCACTCTGTTCCACAACTTTGGTTTCACATTACTGCACACATGGGGCAGCGGGTCAGCGGCGAGACGAGCTAATGAAAAGCACACGCGTCTGTCCGTCACAACACTGTCTGCGGACCATTAAAACCATACGCTTTATTGGTAATTTACACGTGCCGCAACACGATTCATGGTGCATGCAGGCTAAATGTAGACGAACGCTCAAAACTACGCAATATTATTGATCACGTTATAAAGATAATAAATCCGGACTGTCCATCCAATAAAGATATTTCAGCCATTGTTTAATATTATACCTTAATTGACAACACGTGGCTTTGCATAACTATTGTTGTGAACATGTATGAAGATTAGAACTTAACTAAGATATTTAACGAGTTAGTTGACTCATGTCTAAAGTGCGTATTATTATGGTTTTATAATTTCTTTCGGCTCTGACCGGAACCATGTATCTGTCTCTTGTTTCCTGTGTGCTGTAGTAGCGGTGCACTCAGGGCGGAGGAAATGGCGGCTGTCAGGTGCAGCAGGCTCCACTGTGGCACATTACTCAAGTACACCCCGAGTTGACAGGCGCGCCCTGCCACTGCTTTCGGCCACAGCGGCTCAGAGGACACTCAGTCATGTTTATAATCGACAGAAGTTTACATGAGAGTCGGATGGTGCAGACATAAAGGTAAAGCGCCGGGAGACGGTTCTCTGTCCTGTATTAGCTTCCAGGCTAAAGGGTTAGCTTTAATCCTATAATCTGGAGTTTGTCAGGGTTTGTTTGCCTTAGCCGGTGTCTTACCTTAGTTCACGGCTGGCACCACCACAAACAGTCAATCAGTGTTTTACAAAGGCTTATAGAGTTGCTGTGGTTGAGAGTTATTGTTATGCTTAGTGAAGTTGACTGTCAAATAAATAGCATTTAGTCAAACACTTGTCGTTCTTCTGAGGCTGACTCTGATAAAGAGGTGGCGCTTTGGCTGGCTGTCTCCTAATTTATAAGAGAGATCAATTAATTAAAGTGTTGTGCAATTGACCCCTTAAATAAAATCATTGTATTAGAATGTATATGTTGTTGACAATTGTACAGCTGGTGCTCATACTTTTCTAATTTGCTCCATGTAAATTCTAATGTATTGTTCTGTCTCAACAGGTACAAAAAAGGTGTTTGAGTGCCACTGGAATAGGTTCCTGAGGAATGGCCAAAGGATACAAAGAAAGTCAAGCAGAAACATTAGTTTTTGCTGGGTCCAATGGTCACAATGGGCAGCAGTATGAGACTGACATGAACAGTGTGTCACACAAACCAGCAGCGGGCGCTCAGAGGCGCTCCAGGATGTCTCGTGTGGCGTCCGACCTCCAGTCTAAATGTGCGGCGTACGTCTTGGCACTGAGACCATGGAGCTTTAGTGCTTCTCTTACTCCTGTGGCCCTGGGAAGTGCGCTCGCTTACAAACTGGAGGGCTCAGTGGACTTGATCATTCTGATGGTGTGCGCAGTAGCTGTGCTGGTGGTCCATGGGGCAGGCAACCTTGTCAACACTTATTATGACTTCTCCAAAGGGATTGACCATAAGAAGAGTGATGACAGGACTCTGGTGGACGAGATCTTGGCACCTCAGGACGTGGTGATGTTTGGGGCTCTGCTGTATTCAGCAGGATGCATGTGTGCCACACTGCTGTACTTTCTATCCACACTCAGACTGGAGCACCTGGCCCTCATCTACTTTGGGGGACTCTCCAGTTCTTTTTTATACACAGGAGGTAAGCGACATGTGGACACCAGACTGTCTATTTGGCTTATTGTTGGTTTATAATTTGTTTATTACTCAATAACTTGATTTGTGAAAAATACTGAATTATTTAGCTTGGATGTAAGGCAGCATAGTAGAAGTGGAGATAACTTTATGTAAATATACTGAGCAAGGTTCACCTATCAGCTGCTCTGTTGGAACAGTCCTGACTCTATTTGGACAACATACTCAGCCTTTGTGTCTTTCTATTTCTTTGCTTTTGATAACATTGAAAATCATGTTAACTTCATGCCTGTCAGAGATGTACAATATGGAATTTACACAAGTCATGCTAAACATTTCTCTAAGATTAAACAAGTCAGTTATTTTTCATGATACTTTGGCCACAGTGGTTGAGAATCTTCTCAAGTAATGCACTAATGGATACAATGCACATTAGGCATATAGCAGCCTAATAAAATTCTTAATATGCCTTTACATTGATCTATCTAAGGCCACAACCCAAATCAGCAATCCAGGAGGCTCTGTTGCCTTAATTCACCTCCAGTTGGCACAGAATCCAAACACAACCAAACGCACAACCATGATCAACCACACCATATGTTCTGCTTGGGAAACTGATAAGTCTCACCAACATCTGGTATAGGCTGTTTGTACTTTCCAGCAAGACAGAGTTATCCTCCCTATGCTGATACTGTGCTCCAAACCAAGGACACTCTTGTTGCCTTCGAATCCATGCCTTTAGCTGACCACCAGGAACTGACTAGAGTGATTTGACATTGATAAAAGATCAAAACTATCTCTGATCTGACCATGTGTCTCATCTCAACTGCATTCACTAGAAGACTATGTGCTCTCAGGACTTATGCAAAAAAAAAATAAATATTTTTTTATTATATACTGTATTTTCCGCACTATAGGGCGCACTCATAAGCCTCCAACCCGATCAAAAAACGACTGCGCGCCCCACAATCCAGAGCACCCTATACACGAATGCAGGTGTCCCAGCACAACTTCAGTAAACTACAAAGCCGCACCAAACACAGAGCACGCAAACACGCACGGAGCAGACAGCGACCACGCAGCGACAAACACCCGCAGCCACACTCATCACTCCACGCCGACGAGGAATGGAACGGAAGAACGAACCGAAAAAGCGAGTGCAATGTGCCACTTCTAGCCACAACTGAACAACTGAGTCACTGCGAACACGCCAACAATCCAGCGGCCCCAGACAGCACCCTCCCTACACACCACAATTGAACAAAGCCGAGAGTCACCGTGAAAGCGCCAAACAAAGCCCGACTGACCCATCTAACTGTTGTGTTTCATTTAAAGCCCGGTGCAGTTTATATGCGAAAAAAGTTCGAAAATAGACCATTCAGTGACAGTGCGCCTTATAATCCATAGCGTCTAATAGTGCGGAAAATAAGGTATACAGAAAACTAGAAACGTTCGAATAAACTTAATATTTGTATGTAAAAGGCAGAATAAACTAACAATTCATTCCTAAATCTCCAGCTAACACACATTTCTTCTATTCATAAATTCAGCACCATCAGTCATTTATACATGTATTAAGTGACTAAAGACCTACAGGACCACTGCTAACACACAATACCAAGAAAGCAAAAAAACAAGAGGTACAAGTCTAACTGTACCACTGTTCTTTTTTAATTAGGTTTTAGTTGTTTTGGTTTTTTTTTTAGTTGTTTTTTTTTCTTTTCTTTTTATTTATTTTGATTAAATAGCAGTGCTTGTGACCAATTTGTTAGTCTTATTGTTATGTAGCTGTATTTAAATGTATTTATCTTTTTCTCAGGTATTGGTTTGAAGTACGTGGCGCTTGGAGATGTTGTCATCCTCATCACCTTTGGCCCTCTGGCTGTCATGTTTGCCCACGCGGTGCAGGTGGGCTATCTCTCCGTTCTTCCTCTGGTCTACGCTGTCCCTCTGGCTCAACACAGAAGCCATCCTGCACAGCAACAACACCAGAGACATGGACTCGGACAAACAAGCGGGCATCGTCACCCTCGCCATCCTTATTGGGCCCACGCTCTCTTACGTCCTTTATAATCTTCTTCTCTTCGTCCCCTATGTGCTTTTCTGTATCCTGGCCACGCGTTACACCATCAGCATGGCTCTCCCGCTGCTAACTCTGCCCATGGCCTTCCCACTAGAGAAGCAGTTCCGCAGCCGATGCTACACTACGATCCCACAGAAGACTGCCAAGCTCAACCTCCTCATGGGACTGTTTTATGTTTTTGGCATTATCCTGGCTCCTCCTGGAAGTCTGCCATTACTGTAATCTTATACGTTTCTTATATGGGCTATTTTTGTGAAAAAATGGAACTGCACAATATTCAGTAGGTACAATAAATATCTTAACTTCCCAACCTGCCACTGTCAACTGCCAGTAGGGATTATCTGACAACACAACAAGAGGTGATTTTGAAATTTTGTGCAGTTCTACTTAAATCGGGTTAGTAACTTTATGTACTTTATTTGTAGGTTCATTGAGGGACTCTACTTGCTTTAAATTATTTTATTTATACTGACCTAAAATTGGAAGCATTTGTAGATTAGTTTATCTTGTGTCAATTAAAGGCATTTTCAGTGTTAAAGCCAATTACGTATTGGTGGTATATTTTTAGAGCCTGGAGTGGGGATGTCTGTAAAACTAGACTGAAAACATTGCCATTCATGCGGATTTGTATCGTCAATAAACCCATTCGCTCTGTATGGTACAAACTCTCTATTAGTTTAGTTTTATCTTTTCTTTTGTCTTTTGTTCAGAGAGAGCCAAATAGTATTCCTTTGGATTTTAATAAAACATTGGAGCTAACATATCCTGTTTTTTTTTTTTTTTTTCTTGCTCTACGGTACACAACATGTACACTAGATGGCAGCAGATACAAAATTAGGATCAGGACCGATGCTGAAATGGATGTCAAAATGTCCAAGATCCTCCAATGAACAATGTTTAAATAAATAATATATACTAGTGTTGTTTACATTTTTTTATTGTCCTGATTTTGTTCAAACAGTGAATCAATTTTATTATGACATAAAATGTAAAATGCTGGACTGACAATACTTAAGTTAATATATGTGTATAGTGTTTCAATGTATGGGTAATATATATAAATATATTTGCCGCATGTGAAATCACAATTTCACATCTTAATCCACAAAAAATCTAATATGGCCCTGTCAGGATAATTACTAGATTGACTTATTCAGTACATAATGGATGGAATAATCATCTTTGAAAGTGAATATTTATAGTGGGGACTTTTTCCTTGCACTAATGGAAAATTTTTGTTTATTTTTCTATTCTATAATGAGATGTGAGCTGTAGAAGGCTGAATTATGAACTTCTACACTGACACAAACTAACTGTAATAGTTGCATTTTCTTATTTATTGATTGCAGCTTATGTTTTTTTTTTTTTTTTTTTTTTTTTTTTTTTACAATATTGCACATTTAGAATACTTTTTAGGGGATAATTCTGCTTTGTGTTTTGGTTTCAGTATGATCCTTTATTGTCTATATTTACTTCAGCAATATATTTCAAAAATTCTTGCAGACCTGACAGACCTATGTGAATATTGAATTACATAAAATATTGCTATAATAGATTGTCTTGTGCTGCATAAAACATACAATTGCTTATTGTTCATTACCAACTGAATAGACTACATGTACCAAGAATACACATTCTGAACATTAATTCTAAGTAACTGTATTCTGGTACAGTTGCTTTTTCATTTGGTGGTATTCAGAATACAGTTACTTTTCTAAAAGAATACATGGTGGAATTTGATCATGTAATTTAAGCTTCAAACTGCACAAAATCAGTGAGAAAAACAGAAGACACTGCTCTTGTGTTAAGTACATGTGTGACACTTGCATCTCCAATTGGTGATAACTGAAACAAATATAAAGCTGTTAATAATACTATATTGCTTTTTTTTTTTACACTATAATGTAAATGCAACTCAATGTAAAAGTATTCTAAGTATACAGAATACAGTACTCTAGGGTGACTATGTATACAAGAAATGTCCCAGGTGTCTGTATTTTTGAGAGGTATACATTGTCTTTTGTTTAGGTAAAATTCAGAAAAGCTGCTTAAAAATCACCAGAACACAAAGAAAATGTGACTATGCTGCAGGGAAGGGCAATTCTTTTTTCTATGGGGCCACATGAGAAACAGATAATATTGTAGAGGGCGGTGCCAAAATTCTTAACTCAATTATGCATGATATGAACAGTATTTCTTTATAAAAAGCAGTAAATAGCATTGTTCAGATGAGCTGATAAGAGTTTATATATGACTGAGCAATGAAAAAGTGAGGCTGCCTTACAAATGTAATTTTTAAAAAACATCTCTAAAATAAAAGCAATGCAGCTTTAGTCCATGCATGAAGTCAAATTATAAAATAATATATGTTTATTTTTTAATTCCAAAACAGCTTTAAGGGGCCGGTCAGAGTCAACCAAAGGGCCATATGTGGCCCCAGAGCTGGACATTGCCCAGGTCTGCTCTACTGAGTCATGGGTCAGCCCTATGTTCCCACAGCTCTATGTTCCCTCAGCCCTGTGTTCCCTCATTTCTAAGATTTTTCATATTTCTAAAATTTTTCTCTAATTCAAGTCATTTTTTAATTGTTAAACTGCATTTAAAGAGATGATTCAGAGTCATTTCAACCTAGGGACCTTTGCACCACAACCTCTACATTACATCTGTATTCAACTGCTGCTGTATAATAGGTTGGGTGTAAATGACTACCAAACTGGGAAAAATGGGGATAAAATCTGACGGTAATTGATGATAAAGGAAATGTGGGAACATAAGGCCTAATTTTGGAAAGAAAAAAAAAATTACAAAGGAGGGAACATAATGCAGAGGGAACATATACGCTCCCCTGACTCACATGTTAGTCGTGAATCATGAATGGGCCGGGTGCAGGACAATTTTCCTTAATTATGCACTCGTTCCACAATTTTATTATTACAAATAACTCCAAACCGGGGGTGTCCCAGTTTTTGCTTTTGAAATCCTGATATCCTACAGTACTTTGATTGGACCATGCATCTAAATACACTGCAAATACATTTTAATGCAGCTATTCAGTATTCTACAAGTAAATACGTTTTCAAAGTATTCTCCCCATCACTGCACTGTATATTTATTAATGATTAGTACATGTTCATGCAGAAAATGAAGCTCTTGCAGCGTGTGGAGCCAACGCGGGCCGTGACGCAACGCATGGGCGTGTTGACATGGGTCTGAGGAGCCGAACCTTCCAGCAGAGTAAACACTTATTTGTCCCAATACAAGAAATGTCAGCGCTGTTGGTGGGTGACATTATGGAAGAACATCTTAATCCAAAGTAAACACTCCGATCTGGACCCGGTAAGTCGCTAAATCGCGGAATATGCTATTTTTATGTCAATAAACGTTGGCAATACGTGAGTTAGCCTAGCTAGCGCCAGCGTTGGACAAGCTAGTCGTGCGCACAAACGCATCCTCCAGCCTGGATACAGACTGAAACCAAACCTTAATTAATTTTTTTTTATTATTATTTCCATTGCATGATTGAGTTAGCATGTGCTGTGACACGGAGTGATTTGTAGTCTTTTCACAGATGATGAAAATAACAGATCTTTATTGTATTGTTTTTCTTCAGTATTGTCGGTGAGCGGTGAGCCAAGAATATCCATGTAAATTCATAATGAGTGACCGTCTGACACGAGTCTTTGTGTTATTGACTCGTAATGGCTAATCTTCTCGGTTTGTAGATTGTAGTGCGTGTCAGATTATATTTTAGACGCTGTTTGGTGTAACTGTACGTGCCTTAATTCCCTGGAGAGCGGAGGATGGACAGGATCAATGAAATCCTGTGAGCCTTGTACCAGCAGCCAGCAGGGTGCCCGTGCTGTGCTGGAGCAGGGAGCAGACCTGTCAGCATTAGCACAGGGCTCTGAAAGCTTCAACTATGAACAGCAATCACTCCATAGCTCAGGACGACGACGTAGTGTCCTGAAATTGAGATTTGATCTGATACAACTGATTGAGTTTGCTACATGCATGTTTTGGCGATGAAGAGGTGCATGCAGATAACGAGCGCTGCAAATTTCTCTAATTTGGCCAAAATTTTAAAACTTATATCAGGATATTCATCTTGTTTTCAGATTTATTATGATCGGATTTTTATATAGAGCTCTACCAACTGAGCTACTGTCAACTTATCTCAGTATTAGTTCTGAAACTGCTTAATTCTGGTCTAGAGGTAGTTCATTTTATTTGACAAGTTATTTTAAAATGATCTTGCTGCATAGACAGATAATTTCACTACTCATTTTCTGATAGATTGCCTTAAATTTTGGCCAAGCTTTTTTTGCAGTGACACCAGTTTAGTCCTGATGTGGGATTTGACACTCCTGATAAATCTAAGTTTTTGGTGATGGGAACACTGCAAATTTCTCAGATCTGGCCAAGATTAAAAGATTAAAATTTATGAAGTTATTCATCTTTTTCAGATTTATTATGGTCACTTTTTTATATAGTGCTTTTCCACCTTCAAGGCACTAAAAGCGCTTTACAACAGGGAACCACTCACCCATTCACGCATACACATTCATACACCAGTGTATGCTGACGCTGAGGTCGAGGTGGGTTAAGTGTCTTGCCCAAGGACACAACGGCAGCATTCATCTGTGCGAGCTTGAATGGGTCAGTGGATATGACTGCTCAACCAATGATGTTTATGTTGAGAGTGGAGAGAAATGCTCTAACAACTGAGCTACTGTCAACTTATATATTTACTAGTTCTGAAACGGTGTAATTCTAGTTTTCTAATTCTAGTCTAGAGGTAGTTTTGGAAGATTTGACCCTCCTGATAAATCTGAGTTTGCAACATGCATGTTTTGGTGATGAAGAGGTGTATGCACATAACGGAAGCACTGCAAATTTCTCTGATCTGGCAAAGATTTTAAAACTTACAGTATATCAGGTTATTCATCTTGTTTTCAGATTTATGATCTACTTACTAGTTCTGAGACTGCTTAATTCTAGTCTAGAGGTAGTTTATTTTAAGATAACTTGTCAAGTAAAATGATCTTGCTGCATGGACAGATAATTTCACTACTTTTAAGTCATTTTCTGATAGATTTATGTGTTTATATATTCAATTTTGGCCAAGCTTTTGTGCAGTGAGACTAGTTTAGTCCTGGTGTAGTGTTGGTTTGGCCCTGCTATAGTCCTGGTAAAGTCCAGATTTGGTTCAAGGTTTAGTCACAGTTTTCATGTAGATGTGTGTGTGCAAGTGTGAAGTATGTCTTATTTCCTGTTTAATTGCTGTGTTAAACATAAATTAGTCGACTTCAAACATGGACCCATCTTTGCATCATATCATGTCACTGTCTTGTGTTCTTGTCTTTGTTAATAGCTTAGGGTGCTTTCTTACCCGTACAACCACGATATTGAAATTGGGACTGAACTGGGACTAAAGCGGAACTAAACCAGAGCTAAACCAGGTTCAAATGTTAGAGTTAGAATGGACTCAGACCTGCTCACTGGATAAAGAAAACAGCCCCTTACCAACATTGTGGACTATTTACACAATAATGATTAATTAGAAACCTTCTAATACACCATCCAAAGTATAACTGCAGGGGTTTGTTGCTTAATAACAGTGTAACTACAACAATAACAATTCATAATTTTATTAAGCCTATCCTGAAAAATGTATTTATTAATTTATCATTCAATATATGAAAGCTTGAACAATATATTTTAGGCCTCAATATTTATTGTGTGTATACATTTTCTTTGCAAAAACAGGGAGATTTGGAGTATTTTTGTTACAGTATAAGATTTGAGCTGTAGCAGGTTGAATAATTAAGTAACTTCTATGACTAATTGTTAATTTTGTTATTTGTTTGTTGCAGCTCATGCCTTTTAATGACACTGTCTATTTAAATGGTTTACTGATATTATCTCATCTCATTGTTATTTGTTAGTTTGATAAAGTAGTTTCAGTATTATTATTTATTGCAAAATCTGTCTGGAGCAAAATATCATGTTCCAAAATCTGTTGTGACAAACTTGTTATAAAATCATTCTTTTCTAGTCAACATTATCAAGATGTGTCCCTGACATTCACTTAAAGGATGTGATAATACTGCACACCTGTGGGATATGCTCAGAGCAGTGCTTGCAGCTCTCTGCGTCTTGGTGCAGCCTCTATTTGTCACAACTGACCTCTTGATCTAGATTGTGATGAAGTATGTGTCCTGGTGCCACACACCTGTCACGTTTGAGTTGCTGTAGAGACTGAAGAACAAGTCTCAGCTGCCACACTGGAGCTACAACTGGACATACCACAGAGCTTGCTTCAGCCACACCTACTGCACATTCACTCAGTGCTGTTTGTGTCCTGCTGCCTGAACACGCTCTGTTAAACAGCTGAAATGAAATTATTGTGTGGCTATCGTCAAGGTAGGAATGGTGTTGTTTGTTGTCTCTTCAGTAACACACTTTTCTGGTTATATAGGTCAGGCTGTATTTCAAAGGGTCCTCTGAAGGACTGAGTGACTCTACTTCTACATAGAATCAGATTAGTAATATAACAAATTATGAATGTGAATTACTAACATGTATATTTATTTATTTATTTATTTATTTTCAAAACTTACAGCAAAAAACTAACTAAAAGTTTTGAAGAGTGAACACAAAACTGCGTAATCATATGTAAAGGATGGTTTATGTTGCGTTCTTGTGGCACATTGTTCTATTAGTTTTATCGTTTCATTATAATGAGATAATTTAACACTTTGGACTTTGGCTTTCCTGAAAGTTTCAATATTAGATTGTCCTTGTCAGTGCTATCTGATCTTGTTCACTTGCTTTCTTGTGTTCCATTTCTTTAGTTCCACAGTCAAATGTGTGTCAGTGTTTTGAGATGTTTGCCTTGTTAAATTCGGTCTTATTTAAGTGTGAAAATGCTTTAACATGTTGGATGACTTATGAGAAGACTTTCTGTGATAGTCTCCACAAAGTATGAAAATATAAGTAACAGTACTTTACAAATTGCTTGTTATGGTGTTATTATTGGTGTACCTAAACTGTGGTACAAAGATTGTTGAAATGTAACTGTTTCCTCGAGTATCAGCCTGGTGAGTGCTGATGTGCTGTCACATTCCATTGGATTATGTGTTTAATAACGGTAAACGACAGTCATTACTTCATGTTGACTGCGTGAGAAAATATAAAATAGGCTTCCTCTGTGTTAAGCAAATTCGCTTGGTTTGCTTGTATTTGTAACTTGTGATGGTGGCTGCAGCGATCATATATATCGTCATCAAAATACTAAACACATTAAACCACAAACCCGATTAGAGAACTCGAATAGTTTCCATAGGCTATATTCATTTTATAACCACAGAGACAGCTGCTGTGGCTTTGTTTGGACTGTTCATGTGCCCTACAGCAGCGCTACATTACAGTGAGTGTCCGTACGTGTGAATATATCAGTGTGTGTT